GGGAAAATGGAAAGGTATTCTATTTTCTTATTTTTTAGTTTCACATTGGAATATATATAAAAAATACAGAGAAGGATTGTTGATCTTTATCAGATTACTTCCATTACAATTTACATGTACTGGCAACTAATACGGAGTACATGGGAACCTCATAGAGGAAGGCCTCCTTCAATAAGATTATCTCAAAATTGACTTCTATCAGTGTTGGATATCTTTGAGTTAGGTTTATGAGTTTTAATTAATTGACAGAGACGATGACTTCTCCTTATGGCTCCCCCTATTATTATGTTGAAACAATTTTCCAATCTCTTTTATATTTTCCTTCCAGCTGGTTTCTTTCCCTAGAATTTCTCGGTTCTAAACTGACCTAATGCAATGGGTATTTGTGAAATTTAATTTATACGAATGAAATATGATTATGGTATTTTCTTTTAATATGTTTGACAACAATCTGGAACAACTATAGCACTCAAGAAAATTAGAGGATAAAATAATGGGTTAATTAATCGAGTCTATCAGCTCATCATCTTCATCATCATAACCTAAAATATTGAATAATATTTTTTTTCATCCAAGAATTAACCACACATCAAATATGAGATATTCAGATAGGATAAGAAAGGATTCATTCCAGTAAGCAACGATTGAATAATGTCTAATTACAGGAAGAAATCAATGAGAAGAACAAACTAAGGACAAGTCCAGTGAATCCAGACCAGGCCAAAGAAAATCTGGGCGGAAGAGGTGATTACAGTAGGGTAGGAAAGGGTTGACGATGGCCCTGGCCTGTTTGCCGCCAATGACTCTCGGATATTTGCGCGGGGTATTGCGGGGATGCGAAGGAATTTATATAATCGTCTTAATAAAACGCTAGGTTTGCAAAAGTTTAGATTCAGACGGTTTTTTTGAGTTTCAGTCTGGTGGCCCTGGTTTTGGTTTTAATCCAAATAGGGCTACTTGATTCCTTATCGGCTGAAGTCAGTAAATTGCAACCGATAATAGACTGAAATGCATCACCGGACATAGGCTTGGTATATTTTTTTGTTCTTTTTGGAATGTACAAAAAGAAGTACTCCCTATTACTCTCTCGTCCCTTAAAACTTGAGCTCCTATATCGTACACCCTGGTGTACAGGTACACCCAGGTATTTTTGAAATTCTTTTATAATTGGAAAAGCACGCTTCAACATGCAGGGTCCAAGGCGCAAGAGGCTCAAATGTGGCTGATTCCCGACACCGAAGTGGGCGCGCTTTCAAGGTCGTCGTCTTTAATCGGGTTTAAAACTTCAGAGCTTTCTTTAGTCGGTGTGTTCCGGCCAGGCCAGTTTGATTACAAATATCGTTGTTTCTTCGAGGATAATGGCTTTGGCTTGTTCAGTGGCAAGGTTGTGGGGATTAAAATCATCATCTTCCATGTCAAGTACATCGGAACGTGAAGCTAATGACGACTCACAATTGATTGATTGAACCTCATGCATACTTTTGTATTCGTATTAATTAGCTTGGACCCTTGCTTTCAATTTCAATGTCAAGTACACTGCCTTTGAATAAATTTACCTCCTAAATCCTAATGTTTTTTGTTTTATTCCCCACTAGTTTTCTACTTCAACAACCCTTTCTAGACATGAGAGCAAAAATCACAATACTCAATTGTACAATTCTAATACTCAATAACTGAGGTTTGATGCTCATTGAAAATGTTTTGATATTCAACTAACAAAATTTACAATTTTTATATTAATGCTGATTTTGTAATTTATGTATAGTCATTTGGTCCTGATGCTCAGCTCATTAAATAATATCTATAATAAAGTTTATGAACTTCAATAAGTGAATCTAATGTCAATTTTTAAATTATGCTTGTATATGACATTTTAAAAATGAGCATAATATAAGTACCAGTTGAGCAAAAATAACTTAGAAAATGAGTATTGCTATAAAAAATCATAATATTTTTAGTTGAACTTCAAGAAAGTTTTTATTGAGCATCAAACATCCTCTATTGAGTATTGAAAACATACAATTGATTATCATGGTCCGTGCTCCCGTATCTATAATAACCTCTACATGAATCTAATCTAATTAATATGACACTTTTAAAATATGCATTGATATAACATTTTAAGATGAGCATAACATCAGTATAAAATGTGCATACTTATCAAATGAGCAATGATATGGAAATCGTAAGCACTATACTCATAATTGACTTCTTTTAATGCACATTTGTTTTATATATTATACTCACTTAATAAAGTTCTATGAACTTCAATAAGTGAATCTAATGTCATATGCAACTTTTAAATTATGCATGAATATGACATTTTAAAAATGAGCATAATATAAGTATCAATTGAGTAAAACTAACTTACAAAATGAGTATTGCTATGAAAAATCATAATATTTGTAGTTGAACTTCAAGACAGTTCTTATTGAGCGTTAAACATCCTCTATTAAGTATTGAAAACATGCAATTGAGTATCATGGTCTGTGCTCTCATATCTATAATCAACTCTACATGAATCTAATCTAATTAATATGATACTTTTAAAATATGCATTGATATAACATTTTAAGATGAACATAACATCAGTATAAAATGTGCATACGGTACTTACCAAATGAGCAATGATATGAAAATCGTAAGCACTGTACTCATAATTGACTTCTTTTAGTGCACATTTGCTTTATATATTATATATACTCACTTAAGTATACAATAAAACTCATTTACTTTTGAAACATGCATTGATATGACATTTTGAAAATGAGCATAAATGAGTATCAATTGAGCATACGCAACATAAAAAATGAGTATTGATATGAAAATCATAATTTTTTTAGTTGAGCATCAAGGTATTCTCATTGAGCATTAAACCTCTTCTATTATAAATATGCAATTGATTATCATGGACTGTACTCTATTATCTATAATCAAATTCTACATAAATCTTACATAATATGATACTTTTGAAGTTTTAAAATGAGCATAACACTAGTACCAAATGCGCATACATAGCTTATCAAATGAGCAATGATATGAAAATCATAAATTTTGTTAGTTCAGCATCAATACATTTCCATTGAACATCAAACCTATTCTATCGAGTATTAGAAGCATGTAATTGAGTATCATGATCTCTGCTCCCATTCGAATCTAATATGATACTCTTGAAATATGCATTAATATGACATTTTAAAATGAGTATACAACTAGTATCAGATGAACATACGTACGTAACTTATAAATTGAGCATCGAAAAATTCAAAATCTTGTTTGAATTCTCTAATATATTTAAATGTTCATTTGTGCACATATATTATAATGACAAATATAGTAATGACAAATATAGTAATGATAAATATAGTAATGACAAATATAGTTATTTTATACTGCGTATTAAGTATAATTTATAGTCTTTCTTTATGGAATTACAAATATAATAGGGTTCATTTTATAATGTTTACACATGCTATTTATTTTACACTATACTCATTTTAGCATAACACAAAACTCATGTTAATTAATAATTAGCACATAATATTTAATAAACTAATAAATATTCATCTTAAACTAAAAAAAAAGAAAAAAAAAAGACACTACTACCTTAAATATTTAATAAAATAATAAATATTCATCTTAAACTAAAAAAACATTAATACCTTAAATATACATCATAAATTAAAATCAATGGAAAAGGTGTTAAAACAAAAAGGCAAAAAGAAATTAAAAAGAAAGAGTTATGTTACTTACGTGAAAGCAAAAAAACAAGCCAAATGGAAGATGCTCGGTAGCGTATACATGCCCGTAGTGGACTAAAGCTAGCAGGGAAAAAATTAAAAAGAGCATATGCGTATGAACGGACGAACTACAGCCCTGGAAATCAGAAACGATTACAAAAATACTCGGATGCATAAGTGCAGGGCCGGTCCTGACATCGGGGCAGGATGGGCGGTTGCCCAAGGCCCACCAGGAAGAGGGGCCCATAAATTATTTAATAGTACTCCGGTAGTATATATATTAAGTCTTGTTCATCTCAGACGCGCTTGATCGGGAATTCTGTATGGCCAAACTTATTTAAAGAATTTAATGTTTGTGAAAAATATGCTCACAAAATTTTATCAAAAAATTCGAATAGATCATTTTGTGAGGACTAGATCATTTCCTTATACTCTAATACTCCATAAAAGATACCCCTCAACCCTCATATCCGTAGACTGAGCCACAACGACAGAGCTATAAACCAAACACGACTGGATGACTTTCTACTTTCCTCACAGAAGCCGAGAATTAAAAATTGATAGTATTATGAACAACTTTGCTCTTAAGAATGCCTAAAAAATGTTTTGTATGGCTTATAATACCGGGTAATTTTATGGCAAAAAAACATTTACTTGTGTAACGAATTTTATTTTTGACAATGAAACTTTTGTAATACATTCTTACAACATACTCCCTCCGTCCCTTATAACTTTGCCAACTTTCCTTTTTTGGATGTCCCACTAACTTTGCCACTTTCCCTTTTAAGTAAAAAATTTGTGGTTCCAGTTAATTCTCTCTCCTCTGCACAAACCTCAACCACACAGTTTTTACTTTATTAATCCTCGTGCCGGTCAAACTTGGCAAAGTATTGAGGGACAGAGGGAGTATATAATTAGGGGCCTATTTTTTGTCTTTTGTACCGGGCCTATAAATTGTCAGGACCGGCCCTACATAAGTGAGAACCATACATCCGGATATACGGTATAATTTACCTTAAAACTTCTTCATTTTTCCTTTTAATTAATTATTTTATGGTTCCGCTGTTTCTCTCGTCAAACTTGTAAAGTCCATATATGTACAGGCGGTACAGCCAGCCCTCTAGGATATATGGTATACACATACACTAAAGGAGTGTTTGGGGTTGCTTAAAAAAAGCACTTTTCAACTTTTGGTTTAAAAAAAGTTGAAAAGAGTGTTTTCAAATGACAACTTCTGCTTAAATTAATCATTTAAAAGCTAAAAACTGGAAGCAGGTGGAAAGGTGCTTTAAACTGCTTCTCACTTTTTCTATTACACAAAAAGTACTTATTTTCTCAAACACTAGAAGAAACTTTCTTAGAAAGAGCGAACGAGCGAGCGAGAGGAGGATGGCTGCTTGCCTTCACGATCACGACTGCGGAGATCACGATTGCTCTTCTAGCTGGTCTCTCTATAAACACATTGACCTCTCCAAGGTATGAGCTCTCTCCTTTTCTGGTTCTTTTAACTATTTGATCGTAATAGTTTTTGTAACAAGAACTGGAAGTTTTAGTGTATTACTATTGCTTGTGTATCGTTGAGAGGTCCATTTCAATGGAGATTTATCTTTTACGCGTTGGAAATGGAAGGATTTTTACTTCATTTATATAGGAATAAAAAAAACCCTAGTTTTTGTTTTGAATTTCTCCTCACGTTGGGGATTACCTCCTACTTGTTTAAAATTAATCAAAGTATATTTGAAAAGAATATATGGTTCATGTTTGAAAATGGATGAAAAATGCTGCTACTGTGAGGTTAACTGGATACTGATTTCAGCGTAGTAAGTAGTAACCAAATCTATAGACTGTAGAGTGGTTGATCCATTCGATCCATCATGTATCTACTTATGTAATGGCCCATTTGGTAAGAGTTATTTGAGGTGAAGGAATGAGTTTGCTCTATTTTGAGGAGAATAGTTTTTGGTAACATCCATTGGGATTTAGGCTTGTATGGCCAAGATTTAAATTTTACCATCAGTTTGCCTATCTTTATGAAAAGTTGTTAGGTGCTATCAACTATGAGGTGACTAGTATTTCTGGGATATTTAAACTTTTTGAATGAACCCTTATCTTTCAATTCGATCCACTCTAGTTATTTCCTTCATTTTTCCTGCAAGTGTTTGTACACTTTCTGCATATTGCGTGAAGGGTTTCTTTCTTACAACAGTTCATTTTTTCTTATTCAATAGGTAACTGCTCTGAATGAGGCTCTCAGAGGAAGTGTGAAGTCAGTTTTTAAACCGTGGGAGCAACGGCTGAATTCATCTGAGGTAATTTGATTCCTTTCCCAGTATGACCACAGTCATTGGATTATGCAGCTTACAAGCAAGTAGTTCTTTATTTATTTGTGCGGTTGTGCCTTTGAAGTCTTTGCGCACATGTAGTCATGTTTCTCTATAGCCAAAGTAAAATTAGGGTCACTCAAGCCGGATACATGTCTTTGTGAGTGTGGGCAGTGTGTGGCTTGTTATTTTTCGATCAGGTTGAGTTAGGCTTGATGTTAGTTAGGATTTAGAACTTCGACAAACACATACACACGATTGTAAGATGCGAGAACTAAAGAAGAACACAAGAATTTAAAGTGGTCCACTTTGCAAATTGCGAACTAGAGAGATTTTATTACTGAAAGAATGCTTTACAATTTCTGGTGATATTTATTTAGGGTTCACTAATGATCTATTTATAGAGATAGGAAGAAAATTTTAGAGAAAGGGCTTTCTTTGGTCCCAAGTAATCTAGCTTCGGCCCCAAGCAACTGGACTCTCTTCGGCCCCAAGCAACTGGACTGTATTCGGCCCCAAGCAACCGAACATCTTTCCTTCACCATTTGAGTGGATCAGATCTTCATCACCCAACACTTGAGATCCATCCAAACTTGCATAATTAGGCTCAAGCATGGTTCATTATAATCTGTAGATTGTGAAGCTCACAAGCAGATCAACATTGGTTAAAGAAATAGTTCACCTATTGAAGATAATTGTGCGGAATTCAAATTTGGTTTGTTAACAGTGAAATATAAGCTGGATTTTTTTATTAGACTTAAAATTTAGTTTGGAATTTAGACTTAAAATTCATATAAATGTGATTACAGTTCATCATGCTTTGAAATTAAACACAATCTAGATTTTGTTAACAGTGAAATATTAGCTGGCTTTTTAAGTCTAAGTTCGTGAATCCATTCATTTCGAGTATGATGAATATGTTCAAATTTCAATCCATTCATTGAAATAGTTCACATAAAGTTCAGTTTGGAATTCTAGTTCAAGCTCGTGAACATGTTCATCATACTCGAAATGAATGGATTCACGAACTTACAGACAAAATATCGTTGAGCATGAGTTCAACTCGATTAGATTGTTGAGCTCAAGTTTGACCCTTTACAGTCATTAAGCTTACTGAATAATATCTCAAGTCTCAACAATATTTTATTGTATGGAAGAACAAGGGTTCAAATAGTTCACGAGTGCTTGGTTTATTTAAATACAATAATACATATTTATTTTGTAAAAGGAAATAGCTTCAATTTGTGTGAGTTTTGTTTCATATGAAAAGTTCAGATTCTTGCATTGTCTAGGAATTACGATTGTTATCAGTTATGATCTTTATGTTGCCAGCTGTATTTTTTATAATTTCGTTGTGCACAACTTATACGGGTTTTCATTAGCCATTTTTGGAAATATACTTCAATTGTTGTCTTCTTTAAGAAATCCTTGTTAACACATTTTTTAAATGTCAAAATATTGTAAATACATTTTTCGCTCCACATACTGCCAACTCCTTCAGTAGCCATTGAACTTCCCCCCTTTTCCATCCTTTGTTTGATTTATTCTACTTTTTATTTATCATTTTACAGGTGTCTACAGGCTGACCTTTTCTTTTGGTCACAGGGTTACTTGGAGAGCAATGAGGGTGATCCTGAATTGATTGTCTTCATCCCGTGAGTTTCAATTTTCTGAGCTAATAAGCTATTTTGTTTCCTTTCTGATGTATCCAAAAGAAAAAAATGATAGAGTCATAGAACTATAATCCTAGTGATCTGTTATTTGCAATTGTACTAATTAGTTGGGCTGCTTTGTTTACAATGTGTTTAGCTGTGTTCCGTACTTCCATTTAATGGGTATGCTCATTAGTCATCTGGGTGTTTGATACTTTGATCTGTTATTATAAGTATCCTAATGCTCATTAGTTTTCCATATCTTTAGTGACTTGAGTCCTTTTTTTTAATCTCAAATCAATAAACATGAAAGTGGCGTCCTACCTTGTCAAGACTCCAAAAAATAACTTCAAAATTATTGATGAAATTATTATAGATATATAGTACCTTAATTTATAGTAGTTCTACGAGTTTTGGCAGACCTGCATTAGAGTATCCGTAAATGTATTATAATACGGAGTACTTGTGAGGACAACTTCCACTTTTGGTCCTATGAGTTTTTTTTTAGAAAAATTAGGTTAGCTCCATGTCTTTGACTTTGTGTCTTTGTCCACATTTAGTACATAACTATTATTTATTCCCATCCATGGTCCTTCCGTCTCAGCACGACAGCACCCATCAGGCGACTTCCACTGTATATTTAGCCGGAAGGACAATGGGTTGGCGAAAAAGTAATAGTCATGTACTAAAAGTGGACAAAGCCATAGACATGGACCTAATGTGAGATTGACATAATAGTATAATACCCGTAGGACCAAAAGTGAAAACTTTTCATACTGCTATTAGGAATCTTATTTAAAACATAATTCTTACGTAGTAATGTAGTATACTATTACAAAAGTACTAAGTACTAATACTAAGTAATAATAGGAAACCAATACTAATAAAAGAAATGAATAAATTAAAGTAATATATTAATAACATAAGACTTCCTCATCCTTTGGCGCGGCCCTAGCATGAGACCTTTCTACCTTTATACAATGTTTGCTCTCAATCCGAATATCTTAAATTCCTGTCTGCAATGCCATCACCTTATTTAGTACTTCAATTCCTTATTTCCCTTGCTTTGAGACCCACTCACATCACCTTTATACTATCTTTGCTCTCAATCTGAATATCTCAAATTCCTGTCTACAATGCCATCACATTATTCATTCCTCATTTCCTTTGCCTTGAGAATCATTAATCATAATCCTGTTATTGACTTTGCAACTATCTTCTTTCTCTCTGTAAGATGTGTTATTATCCTTCCTTTTTGCATCAGGCATGGTGCTGTTCTTTGTTAATAAGTGCTATACTTTTACAATTAAAAAGTTACTCAATTTACCCCAGAGAAAGGAGAAAGAAAAAAGAACGAGCCATAATATTGATTTTAGTATTACAAGCATGACTTTTTTTTTGGGGGGGGGGGGGGAACGGGAGAGGTGTTTTATCTTTATTTTTATTGTTCGTGTAAATCAGTATTTGCAAATTGTAGTAAACTTCTATGGCATGAGATAAATTAAGTGATGCACATTATGCAAAAAAGTACTGAGGAGTCCACATTGGTCCCATGTGCGCTTAATTGGAATGTACATAAATTTATTTCTAAACTCGATAATGTGGTCTCTTTCCATCATTTGTAATGGAGCCAAAGATTCACAACTTTTTGGCTTGGGAATGTTATGGAATAAAGCAAAATGGCTCACTGAACTGTCTGTGCTTCTTTGTTACGAAGTTTCATGCAGTTTTCGACACTATTTTCACTATGTGTCTTCCAGAAACAGTCTCTTTGTGCTTTAGTACAGGGGTAAGGCTGCGCACATCCGGCCCCCTTACCCCACTGTAGGTGGGAGCCTTTGCGGCACCGAGGTAATGATGATGATGACGACTCGATAATGTGGTCACATTAAAGTGCACTTTCATGGGCTCCATAGAAGGACCCCATCATGTGGCCCATTAAATTTAATAATGTGTAGTTTTTGTTTTTAAATAATCTCTGTTAAGGAGGAATGTGAAGAAATAGATTACTTCTCTTTTGCATTACCTTTAGATTCTAATTATTGGTTGCATTTTCAAATAACTAACTCCTAAATTTGTTATATTATTGCAACTGTTGTGGACTTGTGGATTCATCCACTTGTTGTGATCAATCATGAGTAATGACAGATTTACTTCAGATGTTAAAATCAAGAGCATTGCAATTGTCGGTGGTGTTGATGGAACAAGTCCTTCTAAGATGAGAGTGTTAGTGTGTTATTCATCTCTCTCCCCCTTTTGATTGGCATGTCTTGCACTGTAAAATCAGTATTGACAGGTTAATGCTCAAGTTTAAATCCTTTGTACTACATGTCCTTTACTACTTGTGTACTACTCATTTTGCTGGGTCAATCTCCATTTATTATTTTATATGATAAAAAATTAACTTGATTTCAACCCATCACAATGAGTGTTACAAGTGCCAAGTGGTATAAGGAATGCAGTAAAGTGGATTTCAATTTGTATGCATGTAATTAGTTTGTCAAAAGACTTACTACGCAAGTACGCATTGCCTGGCTCGTACTGGTATTACCTGACCCACAGTTCTTGGACCTGTTTGCCCACTCTGAATCTTATCCCCTGCACTCACTTTTTTTTTTATAACTACAGGTTTGTTAACAGAGAGGGTATAGACTTTGCAGATGCTCAAACTATACAACCAGTTCAGGTGTTTATGTTAACTACTGATGGGAGAAGATTATCAATCATGATTTTTATAAAATAATCAAATCATGAAAGAATATTTTTCATTTAAGCATCCCAACAATAAATAATTAGTTGGATAGCTGTTAATCATTAAAAAGTTGAATATTTCTTGAATCTTGCATAGAGTATCTATCATTTTTAATGCTTAAACATAGACCTAAGCCTCCTAAGGTCTAATTTTAGCATTTCTCGTATAAAAATATGCTCTTATTCATGAATGATTTTTGTTTTTAAGGAGTGGGATTTGGCTGAAAATTTACAAGGTGTTTTAGAGTATCAAACAAGGTTAATCTTCTTTGCACCTTGGACTTTATAAGCACTGTTACAATCACCTTACTCAGTTTTTCTATTCAGTGTTATTGACTGCGATGGGAACTCACACCATATTGAGTGTTCATGGAATCATGGATCTCCCCCCTGAAAATTAAGCCGTGGTATTTATGGAGAGTAACTTTTGCGGGAAGACTAGTGCGTATGCATGGACACAGGGTGTGAGGTTGGATGGGATATTAGAACGAAGCCTTGTAGTATACATTTATGTTGGTTAATTTATATTGGTGGGAACCTATAGGCTATGTTTGGACCCTAAAAAAGTTAAGGATTACGATTACCAAGTAAAGTTGTTTTCTTATGTTTGGTTATACACTTTTATCCTATAAAATGCAAAGAAAAATGAAATACAAGTAATTTTTTAATATTTCTTACATATATTTACACCCTATATTATTTATATACTCCGTAATAGAAGTTATTAAATTAACTAGCGAGTGAGAAATGATTCTGAACAAATATTTTAAATTTGAGCCTTTTATTTTATTTTTATTTTCTCCTTTTTTCCTCCCCATTTTATTTGCTGATTCTGGCCCTGTTTCCATATATTATGTGGAACCGCTGTTTTGGTAGTTCAGGTACTCTAAGTTCCAGAGTGTAGGGAATATCACCTTGCATTTCCCTGAAAGTTTTGGTGCAGATGTTACTCAAATCCATTACATTGGTTTGAGAGGAGAAGCTACACAGGCCAGTGAATTCTTTTTTAATTATTCCCATGTGGTTTAATTGGGTTCAGATAATGAAGTGCGGATTTCATGAATAATATACAGATGAAGAGGGATGCTGTCGCAAATATTGTCTATGAACTCATGCCAAATCCTTCTGATCACAAGTAAGTCTCTATTATGATTAAAAAGTACGGGAAAAGTACGGAAAAGGTACTTGTGGTTGAGCCCGTTTTCAGATAGGGTCATGTGTTTCATTCTTTATCAAAGTGGTTCATGTGTTTGAATTCTGTTATCACAAGAGGGTCACACCGTTAAAAACGTCTGAAAAAGACCGTTAAAAGTAATTCCGATTTTCAAAAGTGCTCAAAAAATTAAAAGAAAAATACCGGAAGGTGCGCCTCAATAAGACAACCGCTTGGTCATCTTTCTTTTTTGTTTTCAGCCACCCTTGTCGCCAGAAAGTCCACAGAAAAGTGATATTAGCGAAATCTTTTTAAAAAAATAATTCAATCAGATCTGAAAAATCCAAAGGCAAAGGTGATTTGGAGGTCATCTTGACGAGGCGCACCTTTCGGTATTTTTCATTTAATTTCCCAGGCACTTTTAAAAATCGGAGTTACTTTTAACGGTCTTTTTCAGACGTTTTTTAATGGCATGACCTTCTAGTGATAACGGGATTCAAACACATGAACCACTTTGATAAAGAATGAAACACATGTCCCTATCTGAAAACGGGCCCAACCACAACTACCTTTTCCGTACTTTTCCCAAAAAGTATAGTGGTCAAGCTGTCTCTAAATGTCATGCATCTTGCATGCATGGCAGCTTTCCATATACATTTTCTATGCATGTACATCAGGAACTTGGAATGATAGGCAAAAGAAAATGATTGTTTATTTATTTTATGTTTAGATTTGCTATAGAAAATACAAATGACAATCAAATGTTATGAAATAAAAAATTAAAGGGAAAAGTGTCAAATAGGCCCCCTACTATTAAGAAAATGTCAATTAAACCCATCAACTCAATAATCACTCAATTAAACCCATGAACTGTTAAAAATGTGGCAAATTGTTTTTTTAACCGGTAACTTCCCGGTTGTCGGTAAAATCCCATACCCGGGGTATGACGTGGCAAAAAAGTTTCATTTTCTTTTTCCTTTTTTTCATTTTCCTTTACTTTCTTTTTTCTTTCTCTTTGTTTCCTCCTTTGCCGCTGCATTTCTTCTTCTTCTTCTCTGTGCCTGCAACTTATTTGTTTCTTCTTTCTTTCTCCGTTTCCTTCCCCCATAGTTCTTCCTCACTGTCTATCCTTCCTCTGCTCACTCCTCTTCTCCACCGCCACCTCTGACGAGCTCCATTCCTCTGTTGCAACCATGGCGGCCTTGTGTTAAAATCGAACAAGTTTCACCACTTGTCTCCCAGCACAACGATTCTCCGACAAATCAAGTCCGTACGATTTCTTCAGAATATGCACATCTCTGAATCGCAGTTGAAGGCCATCCTGACAGGATCTACTGGAAATCTCAACTGTACGATGGCCGCCAGTAACTCCCTCGATGCAATCGGGTATTTTCGATACCGGGTCAGGTTGGACGGATCAGCACGGCCTAGCCGGTGACAAGCTGTTCGTGGTTGAACGCCGCCTTGGCTGCCGAGTTACAACCCTCCACGGTGAGAATACCAGTTTGTGGGGCCCTCCAGTGACGGAAGGCGGAAGCTATTTGGAGCCGACAGAGACACCTGGCGAACACATCTCATCTTGGAGGCGGTGAGCAGACAAAGAGAGGAAGAATAAAGCATAAGGGGGTAAGAAAGAAAGAAGGGAAGAAAGAAATTGCAGGGGTAGATGACGGGAGAAGAAAGCCAACAAGAGGAGGAAGAAAGAAAGGAGAAAAAGAAATGGAAAAAAAGAGAAAAAAAAGAAGATGCGCCACGTGGTGCCTCATGACAGCCACGTGTACATGCTTACCGGACAATTGATTATTAACCTATTAAAAAGCTGAATTGAACTCATTTTTGAAGTTGGAGTATTTATTTGGGTGATATTTGAGTTGATGGACTCAATTGCCATTTTTGTTATAGTAGATGAGTCTATTTGACATTTTTCCCAAAATTAAAGTTATACACAAACAGACATTAGCATGTACTTGTATATAAGTTTGCTTTCATGTGATATGAATATATAATTAAAAATTGTTTGAACAATTAGTTTAAATTGATATGTTTACACAAGTGAATTTGTAGTTTATAAAAATGTGATGTGAGACATGCATTTTCATGTATGTATGGAATTGATGAAGTGTACTAAGTGATTGAATTTGGTACAGGGCTCGCGGGGAGAGCGGTGGTGGGCTTTCACACGTGGAGTAGTAAAGATGGAAAGGCTGAGGAAGAGATGCATGCATGCACGTACGTATCTCAGTATCTATCTGGCTGTGCTGTGCTGTGCTGTCGTCACATATATGCAGTGGCGACTGGTGCATGACGGTCCAGCCACCTAGCCAGGAATCTCAGCCACTTGATGCTTATTGTACACTGCACTAACAAGTTTTACATTGCATTGCATGTGGTACTCCATAATTTTAATGATATGCTTTCATACATCCATATATACCGTTTTAAGAAGAAAAGGAAGAAAAAGGAAAATTAAATTACAAGTAAAAAAACTATAATAAAATGTCAGCTAGAGTAATCCTGAACGATAACATGGGAAACAACTATTTTTTGTTTTGTTTTTAATACTTCGTGCATTTGATTGATTTAATAAAAAGTACGATAATTCATTTGGTTTTTTTTACAAAGTACACAGCTCTATTTGATAGTCCTCTCTATTTAATTTAAATGGTTGAAGGTGTTAAATAGTTATTTATATACTCCGTAATACACTCTTGTCAATTATAATTATAATTTTGTCAAATTTGACCTTACATGTGAAGCAACAAAACAGAAATTGTGTGATTGTCTGTGTAGAAGAGAGAAAATATTATGAACCACAAATTAATTATTGGGAGATTTCCCAAAATATGACTAAATAGGATTTGAAATTCTAAAATAGGTCTGTTATGTTTTTCTTCCCGAAATAAGACTAAGATGACATTATTTACTGTCATCTTTTAGTCATCACTGCCAAATAGTTACAGTACTATGCATTTAACATGACAGTATTTATTATAATCATTGACACCATTTTTCAATCATGGTAGTGTTTTTTTATCATGACAGTAACCACTCTTATTTCGGGAAGAAAAAACATAGTGACCCTATTTTGAAATTCCCAAAGTTTTTTTATCATCAAAACGGGCCTCTATTCATATCAAAAGATTTAGGATCATTACATCAAGGAAAAGGAAAATAAAACTGACACCAACTGAAACTCCAACACCTACGACTGAAACCCTATGGTGAGACTTTGAGACGGTCACCCCTGAGAGATCAACACGAATCGTTAACCATGTAGTGGGCTTGACACAGCCAAACTTGTTCCCATAGATCCAACCATACCCCATGACATAAAGAGAGGTAAAAAACTCAAACAAAGTGTCAAAATCAACAACAAAAATGGACACAAAAAAACAAATAACAAACAGATAAAAATTACAAGAAAAGCGTTCACGAACTCTAGCACCTCGTACATCCCATGGTGGTGGTTTAGGAGGAGGTCGTACCACTGGTACCATGCTAATTGATCCTCCGTGACCTTTGGCTGCCAAAGACCATGCATCGATCTTCCCTCCCTGCATAACAAAACTCATCCCTGCTCCGTGCGACCAAAGTAAATGGATAGGCGGCGCCTATCTTCTCCAATGACGACAACAATGCCGCATCCTCGAACCTTGACCACAACGGCGATCTCCTCGAGCCATGACAACAAATCCGCCCTCCGAGGACGAAGCACAAACAATAGCGGCCGTCCTTCGATTAAAATCGAAGATGGAAAAAGCGGCCGTCCTTCGATTAAAATCGAAGACGGAAAAAGCGGCCTTCCTTCGATTAAAATCGAAGACGAAAAAAGACTCCAAGCGGCCGAAGCCCTAGAGAGGAAATTCCCAAAGTTATTTACTCCTATATAAGGCAATTTCCCTTAATTATTTACATGTAAATTGTTAAAAAAAGTTAGGATGACCAAAAATGGAAATCAGTTGGCTACTAATGATTTATATGGAGTAGTATATGTTTTTTTTTATTTATTTGCAATGTTTCGGTTTCATGTTTATTAATGCAGGACTATAACCATGTATGCATTCAATTGTTATTAATAAAAAATTGTAACCAATCAAATTTTGAAATGTTAGTTTCAGTTTTTGAGATAAAATTAATATATTATTAAAGGAAAACTATCCTAAATAGGAATCAAAACGTTCCTATATTTTAAAATAGGACTATCACGTTTTATATTACCAAAGTAAGACTAATTACTATGTTTTGGCAGTATCAGACTTTAAACATGACATTTTTCAATTAGACAGTAATTACACCTATTTGAGGAATAAAAACAGGACAGTCTTATTTTAGAATTTTCAAACTTTTTTACTGCTATTTGAGGAATTTCCCCATTATTGTAAGACATTTTATTTGCAAAAATGACAACAATATTACATCTAGCTTTTGATTGGATAAATATAAGACCGTATTTAAAATAAGACAAAAAGAAATGAATTAGTTGAATTACACCTAATCCCCCACCCCCACCCCTCTGTGAGGGTGAACGATGTGCCAATGGCTAGAACCCTAGGGTTTGGAAAACACGAGTGCAACTAGGGTTCCTGGCGTGTGAGGGCGAGGGATAGGGTATGTGAGGCTAAGATGGGGTAGCAAGGCTGTGGAGTACATGCACAGGAGGGGAGAGGGGGCGAGTGTAGGGGGTTTTGGGCAGGCGAAGAGGACAGATGTCGGGGCTAGGGTGAAGGTGTTAGGTGTTGACTTGAGAGACGATAGTTATAGTGCGATGGTGGTGCTGGTAGGATGGCGTTGTCGGCTGTGAGATATAGTTGAAAATTATGTTTAGTTTTGACTGACCTAAGTCGTGAACGAATGGTCACTAGTCGGGCATGTAGGTCACAATGGGTAGCGGTGGCTGGTCAGGGCACCGACAATGACTACACGGTGCACTAAAGACGATTGAAATTAGGTCACTGGACAGTTGTTCCTGTAACTGCTCGGTGGTGGCCGTTATGACCAATGGTGGTCATTGCTCGGGTGGTCACTATGACTTGCGGTGCTAACTGTGCCACTGGTCACTGACGCCATTTAGACAATTGATCACTATAGCGGGTGAGCTAGGTTTAGTAAGAGTGTAATGATCCTTTTTATCACATTTTTGAAAATTAAAAAAAATTGTCCGTTCTCTATTATTACTAATATTCATGTTTATTAAAACTTCATGTCACAGCTTATTGTCAATTATTTTGGCAATAACTAAATAAGTAATTCGAGTATGTTATAAGAAGTATTTTGATGAGTATATAATATAATGAGGTGATTGATAATAATTATGATGTTATAAATGTATTATTTTTTATATTTGTTAATAAAATTCGCATTTAAAAATGGTAATTATCTTCAAAAATAAAAATGGTAACCCTGGAACGCCTAAAAAGTGCAAGTGGGAAGAATGGATAGAGTATTATATAAATCGTTATTTTATTACTTTCTTACTTTCTAAGGAACTATACTACGTATAAGCTATATTAGGAAAAAAAGAACTATACTATAAGCTAGGGGTGGACAATTCGGTTTACGGTTCGCTTTTCATCGGTTTCGGTTCGATTTATTCGATTAAGGAGATACCGTACCAAACTAAAACCATTTGTGTTTTGGTTTGGTTGCAGCTTCAGTTTGGTTTGAAGTTCATATTACGGAAGTGAAAATTATTAGATTCAGTTTACTTCAATATAATTTGGTATCATATGTTTGTTATTTTATTTAATCAAGTTCTATGTTTTAGAAATAGAGCATGAAAATAGTAATCCATCTCATCTTCTTGTATTTATTATTTAAATAAATGTGATGGAAAGTGAAAGAAATAATAAAATATTATAATGAACCCCTAATTTGTCTTGGTAAGTCTGATGACAAGAAAACATCTAGCATCTTTTCAACCATTACAAAAAAGATTAACCTCTCACAAAATATAGGATGATAGTTGATTAGTATTTGCTACATATAACATTTATTATTTAAATAAAAGGTGAAGGGAAGTAAAAGAAATAATAAAATATTATAAATTATCCCCTAATTTGTTTTAGACAAGAAACCATCTAGCATCTTTTCAACCATTACAAAAAAAGATTAATCTCTCACATAAGATAGGATTATAGTTTTTTAATCATAAAGGAGTGGCTTTTATATAAAAAATGAGAACGCATACAAGACAACATTCAGACGGATTTCACAGAACCAATCATGAACCATAGGAGTAGACTTAGAGTCAGTCACCTCATACAAAGCAACCTGACTCGCTAAACATGAAACGGGCAAATCTAAGCCTCAAACAACCAGAACTGAAACTTTGCCTATCAAAAGAATTCCAACCGGAAATAAAAACACAACCAAAACAACATGCAGTTCGGAAAAAAAAAAGCAAAAAATAAAATAGAATTAAAACATAGTTCAATCGTTTTCTTCCAACCCCTAAATTCCCCAACACTCCATGTCGGCGGTTCAGGATGGGGACGAGCCAGCAGTACTGTAGCTTCTTCCTCACCCTGCCTTTTATTCTTCATGTCTCTGTCAATCCTCCACTTTCGCCACCAATCACAAATGATCTCGGATCCATATCTGTTCCAGCCTTTAACCCCAATCTTCGTCCATTACCTTCATTGGATGATGTCATCCTCTCGCTATTGCTGTCTCTGCATCTTGTTCGCACCAAGAAACTCGTCGCATGGGAAACCCCAAACCAAAGAGTTGCCCAATCGAAATAGATCGGCGGAGAAGCTAAAATCCTAAGTAGAGGGAGAAAACGGCAATTGCTTATGCTGCTTTAAAAACTAAGAATTACGATTGAACCGTTTATTAATAATATTATATTAATAATAAGAGCTGGTTTGACTAAAGTGATACAAAAGATAGGATCATAATTGATTAGCATTTGCTATGTACTTGTATAATATCACACAAAATATTCAAAGAAAACTAAATGAGTCAGTGGTAATGGTATAATATAATGTAGTAAAATACATAGTTTTATTCAAACGAATCATGTAAAATGTATATTGTACTATGGTTTAACTAAAATTTATATAAATGCAATGTGCTATTATCATCATGGAACATCTTTCTCGTGCATGTAGAGTACAAAATATAACAAATACAAGTATGTGTTATTGGCTAATTTTTTATAGTGAATGTATGAAATGTGAAAAAGTTAAAATGGTATATATTAAATATGTATTTTTCATATTTATGTTATTTAGTCATATCCTAAAGATGAAGGATGAAGACAAATACAAAGTATTTTTATAAATATTAAATGTTTGATTCGGTTAAACCTAACCGATTTATCCAGCCCTAACCTTGGGGTGGAAAGGCCAGTTTTGATCTTTTCACCCAAAAATATTTGCAATCCATAGTATAAAGAGGTGCCAAAGTGGAATGCATAGCTATTCACGGAAGCGTTAACTCGAAAGGCAGAGCCTGGCTGCAAATAAAATGGTGGGCAACATAAAATGTAAAATCTCATTTTTGTTTAGGGATTTATAACTTTTTATTGTATTCTAATTTTTACAAAAATTATATCAAATTTCATATGACACAAATATTGAATATATAAAGTTTTAAAAAATATTAACTTTTTTAAATTTAAAAAATTTAAGATTCAAACATTTTACTTAAATAGATCCAAATAAGAGAAATAAGATTTCATTGTTATAATATTTCTTTTTACATCTTTCATTATTTTTTTAAAAAAATAGATCCGAATTAACAAACAAAAAAAGTCAAGTTTATTCATTTTTATATTGGAATTTTTGTCTTTTCAAATGATAATTAGTCACAACAAAAAAAATCGAAAAAATGGTGTATAACAATAAAAGTAAGACTTTAATAAATAAAACTTTGCTGAGTGAATATATTGACGGTGTTGGATTGCAATGAAAACTGAATTGACCGAATGAATACATACAAACTGATGGATAATTTGATTTATTGACGGATTTAGGGCCGCGGTTAGCCTTATAAGCTATAGTTGACTAAGAGGCTGTTTACGTTTTTTTTCATTAAGTCCTGAATGGATTAAGATGTCTTTCTGAATTAAGTGACACATAGATAACAAGATGTTTACTATAAATGCCCAGAGAACAAGTGCTGAATGTACATTTCTTGTTTACTTTTTTCTATATAAAGTCACATATATATACTCAAATTTCAGTTCATTATTTATTTTCTCGACCAAAATAACAAGTTCCTAAAGATAATTCATATGCCCATAAATCATTGTGCTATGAATTACTTTAAGTAAAATAAAATAAAGATAAGAGGTTCATGATAATATTCTAGGCATAAACATTTCCTACTAGTCTATCGGTTGTTTTATCCCACAAATTTATCATATACTGTAAATTTTGCGTGCCCCATTATGATTCATCTACTTCTTCGATTTATCTGCCTTCCTTTTGTGCTTCATGGTTTAATAAGTCATCTTCTTTGGTACTTCATCTAATGAAATCATGGATTGCAAAACAAGCACTAACCGCATTCTTCTGTATTGAAAATGGATAAAGAGCCATCCGTTTTAATAGATATTTCATGAATACAAGCCTCTTTTCACCACATTTTTTATTTTTCTAACTTTGTTTACATGAAAATGGAATTCATAGTGTCCATGTAGTTAAGATAACAATGAACAAATGTGTGGAAATACAAGAAAAAAATCTTTAATACATTGTGGATACCATTATTATTTGTGTTATCTAAGGTAGAATGGCCATAACTAGCTTCCCAAAAAGCAGAATACTCAGGTCGGGGATCTCTAAATCTTGCAGCAAGACCTTCCTGGTTCCATCCATCTCCAACTGTAATGTAAACTGGAGCCGATTTGTCAGGTAGAGGGTAAGCAACACCAGTTGTATTTGACAAACTACTCCTCAAAGACAACCCTCATACTTTCACCCTCCATATAGTGGGTTGCATCTACTTTCACCACTCTGCATATAGTGCTCCAGAGTAGAAAGAGAATTGAATGTTTGGCCTAGATCACCTATAATATCAAATTTGTAAGAATTACCACTTCCAAGTTCCAACTCCATAGTAATACTTTCTATCATGCTCTAGGCCACCAAAACGGCAAAAAGGCAATGATGTATAAAGCCAGACTTCCAAGTATAAAATCACACGTTGTAGCAACTAAATCTATGAAGACTGGACAAAAAATCAACAAATAAAAAGTCACACATTGTAGAAATTTAAAATTTCAAAAAAGTAATTAATATGCAAGCAAAAAAATCAGCACAAATATGTCAACCAAACTATCAAAGCTAATTTATTAGTTCAAGGCAACTCCCAAATTAAAGCTTATTTACCCAAAGGTGTCAATCAGACAAATGATGTCCCAGATATAGTGATACGGTAAAAGAAGTCGCCATATACAATTACTTTTACACCTATACATTTTAATACCATCTGCGATTTTATAAGACAACAACATGGTAAGCTCATAGGCTGATAAAAGCAAGAAAGAACGGACTGTCTCATGGGTCTACTACTATGTACTTCAATCAATAACATATAAGTAGTGAAGGTATAATCGTCCTTTTCATTGGGATCGGCCATTGACTGAAGGGAGCCCCAAATTACTTGGTGACCATCCATTTCTAAGGGGTTCTCAATCTAACCCAACAGCCCAAAAGAAACCTGGATCGTTGATCCAGCAGTTACCAGGATTGCCCATGATTCCTCAGACAGTCCAACCGCCAGAAGAAACTCCTCACTCATTTGAATGATTATGTCTTGGATTAATTAGTATAGTAGCAGTACGGTTTTACTATATTGTAACTGAACTTGTTGTATTTACTATTATTGCTGGAGTTTGCCCTTGACTCTAACAAGGAGCGTTTGATACATCTGTGGTATCAATCGCACATTTCTGACTTAGAAAACCAACATGGGCTTGCTCAGAAGGAACTAAAATGTCTTAAGGAGCAATTAACCCAACAAAGATTGCAAAGAAACTGGTGCAGGAGAACTTCCCTGACAATGGAAAAGAAAACAGCCCTGCAAGTGTGGTTTTAGATGATAGCCCCGAAAGAATTTGATGAGGTGAGCCTGCTAAGGGCCAAAGTGGAAGAGAAGGAAAAAGAACTTGCAAACGTCTACAAAGAAAATGAAAATAGATAATATAATCAAATTACCAGCAAATTGGAAACATAGATTGTGCAATAAGAGAACAATTAGATTGAGAATAAGGAAAACTGTGCAATCTTAAAAAGAAATGAAAACCTTAAATAGATATAAAAAATAGCAAATACCTAGACAAAGAAAGAAGTGGAGCTAATACCTAGACGAAGAAGGCAGGGAAGCTTATTTCACGATAGGCCGCTCGCAGCTACAGGCTTGGGTATTATCGGTGATGTTAGAGAAGCGAAGTATACCGAGACTCGGGGATAAAACGGAGATAGCTCATAGGCAGAAGTGTCAGGTTAAGTCAAAAAACGTCTGACCGAAAAAATAAGTCCCATGTAAACACACCAATATAACTGAACGATTAAGAGTCTGTTTGGTAGCACGAAAATCGGCTGTTTTGGCTGATTCAGCTGAAATTTATGAAGTTTTGGCTGAAGTGGCTGCATTGGCTGATTCTGTTGATTTAAGAAAAAAATATTTTTAAAATATATTTTATTAATAAAATAAAGAAAAAATTATATGTAAAAATAGCTAAAATGATCATCTACAGTAGCTTCGGCCAAAACACTCAGAAAAGTAACTTCAACCTTACTTTTCTGCTTATTACACAATTCAGCGCGCCAAAGCAAAAATTACGTGTTTGGTGAAAAAGTTGGCGGATAAGCCTGATAAGTTGAAAAACAATAGTTCCAAACGGCCTCTAAGTCACTAGAGCCATTCAGCCCATTAAACGGGGCCCAATAGTTTACCCACCATTGTTGACACTTCCGAACTTGAACATGCCTTCTCCCATTTCCTCTTTCATTTACCAACCGGGTGTTGCTCCGCGCACCTGCTACGTTACTTTTGACCAAAAATCGGTGTGCAGAGCAACCCCAAACCCTATTAAATTATTACGGAGTAATAAGTATACGCCATTTCCTCCGTATACATCCGAACAGCTCTTCCGTCGTTTCCAAGATGAACCTCCGCAATTTCAAAACCACTGTTTCCTATCCCTCGTAAGTTGCAATATTGGCGCGATCTTCATTCATTTATTCCGTCTTCAGATTTTTTTTGTGATCAATTCAATAATATCTCCCTTATTGCTCTGAAACTGGTTATGATTGTTGTTGTATTGAAGGTTTATTCTTACCATTACAAAAAACATAATTCACAAGGAACATATATGCATTAGGTAGTTGCTGTTGATTAATGATTATATAGGATGGTTATTTGAACTTGTTCTTACATTTTTGAACTTCTTTCATTTTTGTATAGCCATAAAAGGGGAGGGGAGCACAATCCCTTCCACCAGCCTATGTGATGCAACTATACTATTCCATGTCATTGGTCATTCAGTTGCTTCTATTGAGCTCATTCTTACAACTCCTTGTCCTTTTCCTTTCCAGCGTTTCCCCTCAGATTAGACTGACTCCTACTTTCAATATCCCACGTAGTCAACACCAAAAGCCTTGTAGCTCTCTTGAGGTTCCTCTAAGCATTTGTTCCAAGCCAGCTGCTAACAAAAGTCACACACTTGGAGGATCGTCTCTACATTTCCCATTGCAAAAGAGAGCTCAATTTGGCAAGACATTTTGCTCTGTTGGGATCTGTACATATCCTGAAAGTGTAAATGAATTTCCATCACATACACATGAAGAGAAGACATGGGTGCTTCTTTTGAACCTTGGAGGGCCAGATACACTTCACGATGTTCAACCATTCCTTTTCAATCTGTTTGCTGATCCTGTATGCTACTGGTCTCTTTTTTGTCCATGTCATTTAGGGTAATGAAATGTGGTAATGAAATGTGATTACTCTGAGTTTTTTTTACAGACTTCCAAGTCTATATAAATAAAAGGAGCTTAATAAAATAAAAACAAATATTGAGTATGAACTAATATTTCTTTTACCTCACATTTTCTCTCCCTCCTTATTTATTCAATAGCCCCCTCCCTATTTTATGTCCCTAGCATTTTCATAGTTTCAAACGGACCCTTATTTTGACTTTGAAATGTGGAAGGTGCATGGAGTTTTGTTATGCTGATGCGTGATAAAACTGCTTGTCTGTGCTAGGATATTATACGCCTCCCCAGGTTATTTCAATTCCTACAGCGCCCATTAGCACAATTAATATCTGTTCTACGAGCTCCCAAAAGTAAGGAAGGCTATGCTGCAATTGGAGGCGGTTCACCTCTGCGAAGAATCACAGATGATCAGGTATACTTATTCTGCTACTCGTAGTTAGTACTTTCAGGCAAATGCTTTAAAAATCTATGCGGAAAACTGTCTATATCTGTGATACAAACTGTGCTTGTAGCATTTCAATTTCAACAACTTTATCCTTCCAGGCAAATGCTTTAAAAATGGCACTGATAGAGAAGGAAGTCTCTGCTAATGTCTACGTTGCTATGAGATACTGGCACCCATTTACTGAGGAAGCTGTTCAACAGGCAGGTTTAGATAATGATTGAGATAACTAGTTAATAATCTATACTTTGGCAGCTAATGTTCTGTGATTATCACACTTGTGTACTTGATGACATGATGTATCTAAATTCTAAACTAAAGAAATAATGTCAATCCCTGGAAGTGAGCTACTATAATATAGTGCATTGTAAATTAATAGTACAGTACTATATAAAGAGCTATACTTCATATCACTTACTGCATGTTTTAATGAAGAACTTTAAGTCACAATTGACTTCAAGGTGTTGTATTTTTTACCTATTATGTTATCTTCCCAACACATTCAAAAAATTCTTTTGCTGCTGCTTTCCTTCTCTGAAGTATAGTGGATGTATGCATGATTATATCTTGAGTTGAAACTATGGGCAGTGCTTAAGATCTTGTGCCCTTTTTCTTCGACTACACGTTGGTGAGCTAAATATGAGTTGTTTGCTGGTTTTATAACCCCAGGGTACTTCAGGACCTTCAGGTGTCTGATTTAAGATTTTACATTTGAAAATAATGCATGTGTTATTTGTTTATAACCTAGTAGGATGTCTGGTTTTCATTGCATTTATTTTTCTCACCGACGGTTACTTTCTGTGGATGATCATAAAAGAAAGAAAGTACATTTAGGCGTTTATCTAGATTATTTGTAACTGTGAATTTTTCACTTCTGTTGTTATGTTATGGAATGGCACGTGTACTGAAAGCTATGGAATAAGTCTTCATTCCTTTTATTTTTTAAATCAACTTTATGCCTTTCTGGCAGATCAAACGAGATAGAATTACGAGACTTGTTGTGTTACCCCTAGTCCCCTATATCCTCAATATTCCATCTCGACGACTGGATCAAGCATCCGTGTTCTTCAGAATATTTTTGGGTAAAGCCATCTTAGCTGGTGTCTGATTTATAAAATATGCATAAATCTATATTTTGTTAAATTTTGTACATAAGATAAACCTTTGTACTTTCAGGAGAGATCCATATTTGAGTAGACTACCTGTGGCTATCATACAGTCATGGTATCAACGACAGGGTTACATCACGTCCATGGCTGACTTGATTGAGAAAGAGGTTAAAAAGTTTCCACAGCCTGATGAGGTAAATTGTTTTTTACCCTTTGTTATCTCAAAGATATTTGTAGGTGCTAAAATGCCTTTTTTTTTTTGTTTTTTCCCCTGATTTCCTCCATCCTATTTGGGGTCAGTTTGGAATCTGGAAAATGCTAGGGAAAATAAAATAAAAATCAATTTAGAAAGGAAATCTAGAAGGAAAGAGAGTTTGAGGGAACAACATGGTTCAAGTAAATTAAATTAAGATACTTGTTTGAAGTCATAAACTCATAGAGATGAAGATGAAATCTATGTTACATCTGAAAAATATAATCAAAACTCTATTATTCTTCCCACTTTCCAAGAAAAAAGGGAAAGTTCCCGAAATGGGACTAAAAAAGTTTGAAAATTCCAAAATAGGACTGTCATGTTTTTATTCCCAAAATAGGACTAATTACTGCCAAATTTGGAAAATACTGTCATGTTTGAAGTCTGGTACTGTCAAAACATGACAGTAATTAGTCCTATTTTGGGAATAAAAACATGGAAGTCCTATTGTGGAATTTCAAAACTTTTTTAGTCCCATTTTGGGTAATATCTCAAGAAAAAAATAGCATTCTCCTCAGAATTTTTTCCTTTCATTCCCATATGCACTGGTATGGATATTTTTATTATTTACATCTGCACGGGTTTATTATTCCTTATGGATATTTTTGTCTAGTCGTAATACATGGTATGTTGATTCTTCTAGGCAATGATATTCTTCAGTGCACATGGAGTACCTGTCAGTTATGTTGAGGATGCTGGTGATCCATACAGGGATCAGATGGAAGAATGCATTTCACTGATAATCCAAGAACTGAAATCAAGAGGAGTTAACAATGAGCATACTTTGGCTTACCAGGTTCTCTTCATTCCGTCTTTTTTTATAATACCATTGAAAAATATTTTTAAATTACCTTCTGTAAGTGGCTGTTAGTTGTTTCTTCCCTGGGTTTAATAAAACTTTTTTACCTACTGGAACTGAATTTGGTTCTTTTTTACCCTGCATATCAGAGCCGAGTTGGACCCGTACAGTGGTTGAAACCTTACACTGATGAAGTTCTTGTTGAACTTGGAAAGAAAGGAGTGAAATCTCTGCTGGCTGTTCCAGTGAGGTATGAATATGCTATGCATTGAAGTTTGCCTAGTTTATACTTTATGCGCCAGAATGATCATACTGCTCTTGCTATTGGTCAATATTCAACTTGCAGAATTCTATGGTTCATTATTGATAGGTACACGGAAATTTGACGGTAAATTGAAGTATATTAAGATGAAATTACTGAAACTGAAAAGAAGAAAGATACACTGGAGACACTTCGAGTAGTCTCCCGCACTCCCAAGACAAGTCCCAAACTAATTCCAGCCTCCCTTCCTCTCTTCTATCCCTTCTATTTATTCTTTTCCAAATGAGGCTTCCCTCAATCTATCTAATTAATTGGCCCAGCCCACTATTACATTTTATTAAAAATATTAAGCCCATGAGTCCAGGTCTCTATCATCACTCCCCCCTTTGACAACCACCTTGTCCTCAAGGTGGGGAGTAAGAGCAGCCATGCCATCCAGCTTCATCCTCCTGCCCCTTCCTTCCCAGTACCTCACCGATTTCAGTGCCTTTAGCTTTGGTACTTGAACCTTTATCACCCATTCCTCCTGGCATTTGCTGAAACTTTCCCAAAAATCTTCCAAATCTGATCGTTGTCTCCATTGAACCAAAACTTCCTTATTTCCTTGCAATGCAAAAGATTTGACTCCTGCATGCTCTTGATTCTTTTCAATGACATAACACTCTTTCATGCATCCAGCAGGTTTGTACCCAAATCCACTATATGTTGCATTGCCGTTTATATCTACTCGGCTGTAAAGCTACTGAGTTCCAGTAGGAAGATGCTCCATGGATATTATTCTGCCACCAATCCCGGAAACCACTTTCAACTCCCAATCCTCACCTTTTGATACATCCAGATCATTACCTGGATTCTGTTCAGCCTTTGAATCCACAAACCGCTGGAAAATGGCCTTGATGAGCAATTAAGATGTAGCTTGGAAAATAAGGAGCAGAAAGTTCATCTTCACCCTTGGGGTTCATGATTGCTAGAAACTCAGTAAAAGAGTGCATCCCAGGAGTTGATAGTTGATTGTGCACTGCTGTTTTAGCTTGTTCATAATCTGAGGCTTGAGCACTGTTAAGGCTACCCGCATGTGTAGCATGTGCTTTTGTTTGGTAATAATATTGTTGGGGGATAAGATTACCAAGTGTAATGCCCACATCAGAGCTGTTCACATCTCTTTTACCATCTAGACAAGCGGGAATAACTAATGGAGGTTCTTGAGCACGACTGTGGTTCCTCCTGCTACCCTTTACTTCCCTGTCGTGAACTACAACAATGTTTGACTGCTCCTCTTCAAGCAACCAGTAGCTGCACCTCTGGAAGTTTGCGGTCTCTTCGCCAGGAGCATCATCGCAATGGTTCCATAATATGGAAGCCAGGTGTGCTTCAAACACAAAACCCCCAAAATGTACACCTTTACAACATATCACTTGCATAAGCCCCTCTGTACTCTTGAACTGATGAGGAAGTTGGTCATCATATATGATTGTAGCTCCTACAGTTTCAAGTGTTTTCCCAGAAATCACACTCAGTTCGGAGTTAGTTACTGGATAATTGTGAATGAGGTTGTTGACAAGCATCCGATACACAACCACATCTACTTTAGTAGCATGTCCAAAATAGTCATTGTAATCCGCAGTAAACATTAGCACCAACCCAAGGTGATTACACATCATAGAAGTAACAACATATAATCTGAAACCATCAATACCACTAGCTCCTCTATTGTCTCCAACTTGTATATAGTGAAGCGATCCTGAGCCCAATTTGATAGCCCAATTGTGGTAATTTTCTGCTGTCATTTGTACATACCTGTCTGCATCAAGGACTTGAGGTTCAGTCAGAGAATTCTCATAGAGTGTCCCCACCACTTGTGCTCTTCTATTCTCTGTCGTCATCATGTATTGGTTTATATATTCTTCTCCAGAACCTCTATGATCCATCTGTTTGAACAGTTTGGCTTCCAAGTCCTTTATGACATTGTACTTGGAAGAAACGTTACGAGTACAACATCGAGCAATTATTCCCACTTTAGGTTCAGTTTGCTCCTCCCCTGCATCGCCGCCATCTGTGTATGCATCTTCAGGGAAATGTTGCCACTGATTAACAGACTCCTGCTGCAACAAGGAAGCTTGCAAAATGTAGGAATCCGCTTGTGATGGAGAATGAGAACTGGAAGATACTGTTTGGGGCGAAGATGGCGAACTGGGAGAAACTTCGGGTGACTGTGAACTGGTGAAAGCTGTTCGCGAAGAAACCTGCGAACTGAGATATTCTGCTTGCGATGAATCTGGTGTACTGGGAGAAGAGTTTGACGACTTACATGAAACCTGCGAACTCAGAGAAGCACTGCGAACTAGGACAAGCAGTTCGCGACTCAGTCTGCGATAGGGATGAACCTTTGGTATTCTGGCAGCGACGCACGGTCCGTGATCGTCCTCGCCGGCGTCGTTGTTGACGCAGCTTGTTCGCATCTTGTCCAACCAGATCCGCATCTCCTTCGCCCAATTACTTTCAACCTTTTCCGCAACCTTCTCTACTTTTCCGCGCGTAGCATCCTGATCGGATCTTCCATGCTGCCTGCGCGGTTCCTTTCCGCCTTGCGTAGACACACTCTCTCAATTTACCACCTGCTGTTTCCTGCGCTGCTCCATTGTTTGTCGCTTGAATGTAGATCGAAGATCCCCTGGGTCGACGGCTCTGATACCAATGATAGGTACACGGAAATTTGACGGTAAATTGATGAAACTGAAAAGAAGAAAGATACACTGGAGACACTTCGAGTAGTCTCCAGCACTCCCAAGACAAGTCCCAAACTAATTCCAGCCTCCCCTCCTCTCTTCCATCCCTTCTATTTATTCTTTTCCAAATGAGGCTTTCCTCAATCTATCTAATTACTTGGCCCAACCCACTATAACATTTTATTAAAAATATTAAGCCCATGAGTCTTGGTCTCTATCAATTATTTGCTATGTTAGTTATAATATTTGCACTCAGATGGGGCAGGAACACATATGGATTGAATATTTCCTAATTTTCAAGATATTTGGATTGCAATATCATCATTACCCCGCAAAGGCTCCCACCTTTAGTGGGGTAAGGAGAGGTCGGGAATACGCAGTCTTACCCCTGTACTAAGGATGGTCTCTATCAATAAATTGAATGTTGGACTGTTTTTGGTCCCAGACTAGACTAGACTTCCATAGTTATAAAATACACAAAGACCAGACATTTACTCGTCCAAATACCAGCAAATTTCAGTCCCAAAGAAAACATCCTAAAGCACATAGAGGCGGTTTCCGGAAGATACTTGGATTGCAATAAAAGAGGGGGAAATGAAATTAGCAAAATATAAATCAGAATAAATTCAGAAGTTAAAAAATAATTGGAAACAAAATCCAAAATTAGGTGAGTACACTATCAATAAATGGAAAACGTAAATCCTTGTCATCACTATATACTAATCAAAGATAGCTCTGCAAATTCTAAATATTCACAAATGAAGTAATAAGTTAATATTTTTTACATGATTTTAACAGTTCAACAACAAAAAGATTTCCATCATTTTCAATGAATTTCAAGACGCACTATTTTTTGACTTGAGAATATGATGGAATAAAGAAAAATGGCTCACTAAATTCTTTGTGCTTCTATATTATGATGAAGCATCAGTCAGTCCATGCAATTTTCGACGTGATTCTCATCATGAGTCCTTCGTAAACAATCTCTCTGTGCTTGCTTTACCCCATCGTAGGTGGGTGCCTTTGCGGCATTGTGGTAATGTTGTTGTTATTGTTGTTGTTGACTACAAAAAGTTATTAAAAACCACATTTGGGTTGATAACATGCTTGTTAACAATTTCACAAATTCATCTCAATAAAGCTTAGAGAAGTGTGCTTGATTGCCTATATGTACTAAGGTGAAGTGGTAAAATAGTAATGTGTTATTACTATTATTATGGGGAATGAATAACGGGAAGTGGTAAATAAGTAATAATTGTGAAAGCGCGCGAGTTGCGGAACCAATGGAAGAATTGTGAAAAAATGGAAAGCACATGTGGAAGCCCTATGAAAGAAGAGTTTTGCCTTTTTAAAAGGGCAAGCAGTGGGTCAAACGACTGGCCTGAGCATATCTGACCCAAACAGAACCGTAAAATTGACATATGTAGTAGTCTGTTTTCGTTTATTGTCCTCTTTTCCCTAAAAATCCATCCTTTCTGTTGTTGGAAAACATAGGGAATTTGTATCATTCATAGGACCATACAACAGAGGGGTCTTAACACATTATCCTTGTGATTGCAGCTTTGTGAGTGAGCACATAGAGACACTTGAAGAGATTGATATGGAATACCGAGAGTTGGCTCTTGCATCCGGAATTGTGAATTGGGGCCGGGTCCCAGCCCTCAACTGCACCTCCACTTTCATAACTGACCTTGCAGATGCAGCGATCGAAGCTCTTCCGTCTGCCATTGCAACAGTCTCAACAACATCACCCAACTCCCCTCCAACTGAAGAAGCTGTCTTGCGCTACATAACCAAGATGCTTTTGGGCTCTATTTTGACGTTCGTTTTGCTCTTTTCCCCAAAGATGCTCTCGGCATTCAAGAACCACCTCCTTTGAGTGGGATGCATGAGGAGGAAGGATTATCAGGTGGTGCCGCAAGGGTTTAAGAAGTGGTATATCAACACACTATTGTATCCAGACAAAATTTTAATACATTGAAACGATACCCAAATGCAAAAGTTTTAAACTTTCATACGGTATTGTATATAGTATACAAAATATTATTGTTCCCCAACCTAAATAATATCAAGTGCATTGAGGAAGGAGGATTTTCATTAAATACTACTATATTTGTTCCATAGTAAAGTTCTCATAGTACTGAATGCCAGCTTTACTTTAAGGCGGAATAGTATGTTAACTTTTATATTTAATTTTAATTGATTAGGCTTCGGATAATTATGTTAACTTCTAATTTTGACAGCTAGTTGACAGTTCGTAATCACATTGTTAAAAATGACAAGTAACACTTTTGTGTACTTGGTATTTAACTAGCACTCATCGTCCAGTACTAAAGTTTTGATTTACTATTATAACTATTAAGTATCTTCATGCTCATTCTTAAAGTATCTTCATGCTCATTCTTAAGGGTATTTCTGTAACTCCATATTCTATTGGTGGAAATAATTAAAATATCCCAAACTTTGAAGGGGTGTGAGGTAAACACTCCAAACTTGTATATGCAATTTAAATACTTCAAATTTTATATAAAAAAGTTATTTTAGCATCACAATCATACATTATTTCTTTAAAACATGTTAATTTTTGGTGTTAATTTCATAATTTAAAATATTTTAGCATGAAAGAATTGCCTGTTTATTACTACCCGGCTTTGCATTTACAAAACTATGAGCCGTTTTGGCTATTCCAAAAATATGACTCAAAACGCTGAATCATATATAAACCAAAATCCCTAGCTTCTCATCGTAACCAGATGGGCATTTCTTCATTCGAGACTTTGTTTCCTCTCTCCATCAGCCGCAGACGCACCACACTGCCGCCACCGACGCATCGTCGCTCCACCGCACTCCAGCCGCCGACGCACCGTCGCTCCACCGCACTCCAGACGCCGACTTCCTTCCGCTCGAACGCACTTCAACCGTCGCCGCCCCACCGCCCCACTACAACTCTTCTTCTTCTCATTCTTCCTTGTCTCTGCTTCTCCTACCCGCCACTGCCATCAATTGAGCCGTCGGCTAGGGTTACATACGGTGGTGCGGTTAGGGGCTTGGGTTTGAAATTGGGGCTTAGGTGTGAGGCTGGGATTTGGATCTAAGTCTACTGGCGGAGCAGATCTGTGGGTTGGAATGGTCTGGGGTTGGCCTGTGGGACAGGGAGGGGCAATCAGGGTAAAGCTGGGGTGCTGGGTGGGCGGAAGTCACCGGCGTTGTCTTCGGCGGCGGTGCCGAGATTTGGGTGGAAGTCACTGAGACCGGACTTCGGTGGTAGTCACTGGATTAGTGACCGGAGTTGTGCGGCAGTCACTGACAAGTGACCGGAGTTAGGTAGAAGTCATTGGATTAGTGACCGGAGTCACTTTGGCCGGAGTCACTTTGGCGGAGTAACTTTGGCCGGAGTCACTGAGATAGTGACTCCGGTGCCAGCGGCGGCGGTTCCGGATGCGGCGGTTCCGGAGGCGGCGGAGGTGGTGCTAGGGTTGGCGTCTGGATGTGCTGGTGGCTACCAAATATGGACTATTAATTTAATAAATACTTCGTTTGTGATTAAAAATAAGGAGTAAATGACTTTTAGTCACATATTTAGAAAAGTTTAAAACAGATCACTTTTTTTATCTTTTTCATTCATTTTAGTAATATTAGAATAAAAAGGCCTTTTAGCATTCATGAAGATTTAATTAACATTCTAAACCTCCATTGTAAAATAAATAATACTACCCCCACTCTATATAATTGCAACAAATTTAATTTGCTATTTTAAATTATGCAATTAAAACCATAAATTTACGTTTTTTTAAGAAATAATATATGATCATGGTGCTAAAATAATTTTATATATAAATTTGGGGCATATAAATTACATATGAAAGTTTGGGGTATTTATCTAACACTTCTTCAAAGTATGGGGTATTTTAATTATTTTTCCCTATTCTATTAATCTATTTTCGTGTCACTTGCTTCTCTCTCCTTACTCATTCTATTTGCATTTTGGAAATGCCGACAGATTTGGATTCTGGTTTGTAATCAAATCAAACTATACCTAAAGGGACAATCCCCTCTCCAAAAATCCCCCCTTATCTCTCCTACTAATATTAGTATTAATGTTATTTGTTATTATTAATTATTATAATCTATCAATATATTAATTAAATGAACTAAGTCTCTCCCCGCTCATTCTTAAGGGTATTTCCATAACTCCATTTTCTGTAAAGCTATTTCCATATCACCTTGCTTCTCCCTCCTTACTCAACTCTCTCGACTGCCTCTCATTTTATCCTCTCTTATATTTGTATTTTTCAATTATGCCGGTAGATTTGGATTCTCTTATAAATACAGATAGATTATAATAATTATAATAGTATACACTTTAAAATGTAGAAGGAGAGCTTTGGCGCACCGATTAAGATGTTATTGTGTGACTGAGGTCACAAGTTCAATTCTCTTGAGCATTCCTCACTCGCCTTGTGGGAATGCCTTCTTGGGCTGCCAATTTTTTTTACATACATTCAATTGCCTACATACATGGAGGTAGGGTTGGCAACAAGATGTCATCATTTGCTTGTCATGCCTTTGTAGCTGCGATTTTCGATGCCGTAATTTTAACCGAATTGAGCGAAGTAATTTGAGGAGAGATGCAGCCCCATCCACTACTTCGAAAGACCAGGAGCGACGTTGAAATGAGGATTTGATAAAAAAAAATGGTTTGTGTACGGATAATTTTGTAGTTAAACAAAATATTTTATAAAAAATCACTTTTTATCAAATACTCCAATTTTATTTTTTTCACTTTAATCACACTTCTATTGTAAAGCACTATCAACTTTTGCTTTAAAGAACTTCCTTTAAAATCACTTTAAAAGTCACATTTTCAAATACGCCTTAAGTTTGACAAAACCCTAGTGGAGCTTTAAGCAAGTGGCTCATGAAGTGCTTGATGTTCTTCGGTCTTAGCTCGAAAGGATCATCTTTTTCTCTTTCAAATATAGGATCAACATCTCTTGGACCTTTTGATATATGTTTTGTGATTATATGTGTCACAAATCAGATCGGACTGGATTGTTTTAGATTAAATTATATTTATGCATTTAAAACAAAATAGAGAGTTAAAAACAGGCAAAACTAGACAATCAGAGTTGCAATAGTACTAAAAAGTATCAAACTAGAGTATACCTCATCGAATTGGTTCACAACATATCATATTAGACCAAACTAGATTAAAATATATCAAACTAGACTATCAAATTCACGTCAAAATATACATGTCATTAATTCATTGACAATAATGTAGAGACAACAATTTAGTAGTTCTATTGTGATAAAATTGTACAAACAGAAATCTAGTAAGTAATATTTTGTGATATTCCGAGTATTTTTTTCTTAGAATAGTGTTCATTTGGGACTTAAACTTGTCTACATATTAACTTACATTGGAGTTCACAATTTGCTCCACCTATTTCAAAATACACTAACTTGCATTAGAGTTTAAAGGTTACTTCAACTTTTTTTCGTAGTGACATTATGGTACTCGTCAAATATGGAGAGAAAATTTGGAAAACATAATTTGAATGCTTTGTCAACTTTTAATTTAAATTAATTAAAATTTTAAAAGGTAAAAAAGACTAGATTTCTGGTGCTTACTTTTATATTATGTTTATGATCGTTTATAATATTCAATTGAAAATATTGAAATGCTATTAAATTAGGAATTATGAAGCATTTGATAAAATAGACTAGTGTACTTTAGCTGTAAATGTTGGATGTTGTATTCATAAAGAAATTGACAATACTATTTTGTTTTTAATTTAGCTTAATATAGAGTGATTTTGAAAAATCAACTACGTTTGAGTTCTTAAATGTGTAGCTCATAGAACTACTACTCTCTTCGTCTCATCTTACATGTAGTTATCTCAAAATAAGTGTCACGTTTTTCTTTTTGGTTTACAACATTTCACTTTCTTATACTGATATATCTTTTTCTTTTGGAAGTTTATACTCATATATCTCAATCACATCTTTTATTTTTCAACTACTTTATTAATAATTGTGTCTAACCAAACTATCAAAGCAAGACACATAATCTGGGATAGAAGTAGTATAATGTTACATAGAAAAGTTGATGCACTTTTTAAACTCAAATATGAGTTGATTGTACTCTTTACTCCGTCAATTTTTTTTGAATAGTTCATGAATTTCGTTGGTAATTAAACTCTTTAGTTGGTCGGAAACTAAATCAAGTACCAATAAAATTGGTATTCGAAATATTGATGATTGGAATCTTCTTCATGCACACTCTACATGTTTTAATAAATAAAAATAAGGTACCATATAAAAGAAAAAAAGTGGTACGAATGTACCACACTCGCCCTTTCATTGGTATTGTTTATTACCGTAATATTATTATTATCATGCAAGTACACATTTAGACTCTGTTTGACAACATCAAAATTGGATGAATCGACTGATTCTGCTGAAATTTATAAAATTCTAGCAGAAATGACTGAATTTGTTGAGTATGATGATTTAAGAAAAACATATGGTATTTAGAATATATTTTATTAATAAAATAAAGAAAAAGTTATATGTGAAAATAGATAAAATAATTCTCTACAGTAACTTAAGCCAATACAGTCATAAAGGTAACTTCAATCTTACTTTTTCTTAGTATTACATAATTCAGCCCGTAAAATCAAAAGTTATGTGTTTGATGAAAAAATTAGTTGATAAGCGTGATAAGCCAAAAAATATTGTTACCAAACAAGCTCTTATTTAGTACTCCGTAATATACAAGGTGCAAATTAGGTAGTTACAGAACTCTCTCTTCTCGCTAGAGAGAGAAGAACTCTAGCGGTCGTCTCCCCTCTTTGTAGGGGTTGAGATTTTCCGCCGCCCCTATCAATATGGGGTTGGAGCAGCACATTATGCTGATTTTAGTTGTTCTAACGCTTGGGATTGCAACTACGTCTGAAAAGATAACGTTGACGGATGAACGGGGTGCGGTTGGGAGGTTGTATCGAGACTGGATCGTGAAGCCTTGGTCGGCCATTCCGCGGGTGGAGTTGGTATTCACCCATATTGCAAGAGTTCGTCTTCCTCCGGAACCGCCTCCATATCAGGAAGAGCTTTCTGACAAGATTTTATTTCAGTATTATTTTCTCTTTAGTAGCACTTGTTTCTGTTTTAGTCTGAGTAGATTTGGTATGAATGTTTGGATTTTTGGAGTTATTTTGATAGGCAGAGTTTCGGTTCCGATCGTTTTAGGCCTAAATTTGACCGTTTCAGGTTTAGGGAGTCATGTTGATTTGTATGAGGTGACTGACTCTAAGTCTACTCTTAGGGTTCACGATTGGATCTGTAAATCTTGTTTGAAGATTGTCTTGTATGTGTTTTTTATTTTAATTTAATAGTCGCTCTTTGATGATAAAAAAAAAAAGTTGCAAATTAGGTAACTCCGAAGAAATTAGAAAATTCAAATTCAACAGTGCAATTTCTTACAAAGCTAATTTCATTACCCCGGATAATTGTCTATCAACAGACAACCTAAGCATAAGTTCAAAATTTACAAGAAATCTCAAAAGAACAAAAGACGTGACAACATGAAACCTAGGCCTCGGACCATTATTTCCCTTGGAAATAGTTTTTTTTTTTGTTTTCTTTCTTTTTAGGTAGTGTTTTCTCTTATTTTCCTTCTCGCATCCTACTCCGTAATATTTTTTAATTAATACTCCGTAACAACGTACAAATTAGGTTCGTACCTAATTGAGGACATTATAGACTTTTCGTTCTCTTAGGTTCGCTCTTTTGATGTCGTGTTTGTAAGGACATTATAGGCTTTTCGTTCACCTAATGGATCGTCTTCTGTGAAATTGAGGAGCGCCCCCAAACATTCATTCATCTCAAACCCCCCGACAATGGCGCCCGCCGCTGCTCCCTTCTCAACCGCTGCTATCTTCTCTTCCAAATATCGTAATCCCGTCCCGGTCATCTCTTTTGGTTCCCCTAATAAAACTACTCCGCATGCTCCCGACTCTGACAGCCGCCGCCGCCGCCGACATTTTGTGATCTCCAATGTTCTGTCCTCGTCTTCGCCTCCCGCTGCCGCCCCCGAGGCCCTTCCGAAGCAGTCCTTTGCTTCCAGATTCGCCCCTGACGAGCCGCGGAAGGGAAGCGATGTCCTAGTGGAGGCCCTCGAGCGGGAGGGCGTGACCCGCGTGTTTGCATACCCTGGCGGCGCCTCCCTGGAGATTCATCAAGCGCTCACTCGCTCCAAGCTCATCCGCAACGTTCTCCCCCGTCACGAACAAGGCGGCGTCTTCGCTGCCGAGGGATACGCACGCGCCACCGGCTTCCCCGGCGTCTGCATTGCCACCTCCGGTCCCGGAGCCACCAATCTGGTCAGCGGGCTCGCTGACGCTCTCCTAGACAGTTGTCCCATTGTGGCCATTACAGGACAGGTTCCCCGGAGGATGATCGGAACAGATGCATTCCAGGAAACCCCAATAGTCGAGGTAACCAGATCAATCACAAAGCACAATTATCTCGTTCTAGATGTAGAAGACATCCCTCGCATCGTCCGCGAGGCCTTCTTCCTGGCAAGGTCCGGCCGGCCCGGCCCTGTTTTGATTGACGTCCCTAAAGACATACAGCAACAGCTGGTGATCCCCAATTGGGATCAACCCATGAGGTTGCCAGGATACCTGTCTCGGTTACCCAAACCACCTAACAATGCTCTACTAGAGCAAATTGTCAGATTGATTTCTGAATCAAAAAAACCTGTCCTCTACGTAGGGGGCGGCTGTTTAGATTCAAGCCAAGAGTTGAATCGTTTTGTGTCCCTTACTGGGATTCCAGTGGCAAGTACTTTGATGGGGCTGGGATCATACCCTTGCTCAGACGACGATCTCTCCCTGTCTATGCTCGGAATGCACGGCACTGTTTACGCTAATTACGCTGTTGACAAGAGTGATCTCTTGCTTGCATTTGGTGTGAGGTTTGATGATCGCGTGACGGGAAAGTTGGAGGCATTTGCCAGCCGGGCCAAAATTGTGCACATAGACATTGATGCTGCGGAGATAGGGAAGAACAAGCAGCCCCATGTGTCAGTTTGTGCAGATATAAAGCTGGCTCTAGGAGCGTTGAACGTAATATTGGAAAACAGAGGGGTGGCAAGGGGCAAGATGAATCTTGATTTTTCATCCTGGAGAAGTGAGTTGTCTGAACAGAAGTGCAGGTTCCCTTTGAGCTATAAGACATTTGGCGATGCCATTCCTCCACAGTATGCCATTCAGGTTCTTGATGAGTTAACGAATGGGAATGCTATAATAAGTACTGGTGTCGGACAGCACCAGATGTGGGCTGCCCAGTTTTACAAGTACCGGAGGCCACGCCAGTGGTTGACCTCGGGCGGGTTAGGTGCCATGGGGTTTGGGCTGCCTGCAGCAATTGGGGCGGCTGTTGGGAGACCTGGCGCGGTCGTTGTGGATATTGACGGTGACGGCAGTTTCATGATGAACGTGCAGGAGTTGGCTACGATCCGGGCTGATAACCTGCCGGTTAAGATTATGCTGCTGAATAACCAACACTTGGGTATGGTGGTACAGTGGGAGGACCGGTTTTACAAGGCAAACAGAGCCCACACTTTTCTGGGGAACCCTGCCAATGAGGACCAGATATTCCCAAACATGTTGAAGTTTGCAGATGCCTGTGATGTGCCCGCTGCCCGTGTAACGAAGAAGGATGAGGTTAGGGCAGCCATTCAACTGATGTTGGACACTCCCGGGCCGTACTTGTTGGACGTGATCGTGCCCCACCAGGAACATGTCTTACCTATGATTCCCAGTGGTGGTGCTTTTAAGGATGTTATCACAGACGGGGATGGCAGATGCTCATATTGACAACTCTTTCATTTTCATTTATTACTCCGTAATAAGATATGTTGTGTTCTGTCCTACAATCTGTGAATGCTATTTACCTTCATTTGGGTTGTACTTGATGCTTGATGTTTTGTCAATGCGCATTTTCATTTTTAATGAAAAGTTCATTTGAAAGCCAATAGTGCCGAAAGAGATTTTGAGGTTAAAAACATTTTATAGGTTGAAACTAGGGGTGCAAACGAGCCGAGCCGAGCCCGATTTTCTACAGGCTCGAGCTCGAGCTCGAAATATATAGCATCGGCTCGAGCTCGGGCTCGGCTCGAACAAGCCTACAAAATCGCGGCTCGAACTCGACTCGCAGAAGGCTCGGTTCGACTCGGCTCGGCTCGAGGCTCGATAACTATTATGATGCTCCATAATGAGTCCGTAGTAAAAATTCATTGTCATCGGCCCATTCTAAGTTTTTCTACTGAGTAGTAACGACCTAAGCCTAAAATATTATAAAATTTTACTAATCAGCATATATTATATACTCCCTCCGTCCCCTTTTAAATGTCCTGTTTTACCATATTGGGATGTCCCTATTTAATTGTCTCATACCTTATTTGGTAAAGTTTGTGTGGTTCAAAATTATTTTTACTTTATTCTCTTACTTTATCAATTAATATCAATCACACAAACCCACTTTTCTTAAAACTCGTGTCATACTCTTCCGAGACATTTAAAAGGGGACGGAGGGAGTATATCATATATATTACTCCGTACATTATAACAGTATACATTATATATTAATTTATATTGCATAGTAATATATTATATATGATTATATAATATATATATATATATATATATATATATATATATATATATATATATATATATATATATTATAAATATTCACATATAAAATTAGGCTCGCGAGCCGGCTCGCGAGCCAGCGAGCCGGCTCGCGAGCCAGCGAGCCTGAAATTAGAAGGCTCGAGCTCGGGCTCGACTGCTTAACGAGCCGGCTCGAGCTCGGCTTGAGCTCGAATTTGACCGATCCCGATTCGAGCTTTGACCGAGCGGCTCGCGAGCGGCTCGGCTCATTTGCACCCCTAGTTGAAACATACAAGAGCTTTTGCGGTTAAAACATTTTTGACAAAGTCAACATAAATAGCTTTTGATAGGTAAAATTGTAAAAATGGAACTATTACACCCAGTCTAAATGCCGCAAGCGCTAATGCATGGCAAGATCAAGCCTTAGACAAGTGAGAGTAGGGGTGGACCTAGGCATGGATCGGTCCCGGACCGGGCACCGGGCCTGTCCTGGGCAGGCTTTTTGGGTTTGGCTTTGGGCCCGGAACCGGCCCGGGTTTCCACCGGGCCAGGCCGGTCCCCGGGCTTCTTCATTGTTTTCTTTTTTGCTTTTCTAATTAACCCCCGACCCCCCCACCCCCCCACCCCCTGTCACGCCCCGGACCTACCGGACACGTCAACAACCCGCCGTACAGTACGAATAGTCAACCGCAGTCCAACTCATCCATACTATACTAGGCGTCTTGAATATCATTCACAATAGTACATCCATAAACAAACATAATGTAAAATAATCAATTGAAATCAGCGGAAACGTTTAATACAAGTGTTTATGCCACACTCCGGCAAACATGGGCATACAAGCCCCAATAATCATTCAAAAATATCCATGAGCATTAATTGAAATGTTTTTTAAATAGAGACGGAGGAAGCACGAACCACGTCTTCCTTCCTAGATCTTCCCGAGGCAACGGGCACTGGTAGCAGGCTCTACTCCCTACCTGAAACTGTGAGGTGGCCTCCCCCGTGAAGGGGAGGTCAGTACTTGGAAGCATTTGACAAGTACAATGACAACTATACCAAGTATAATCAATGTTTCAATTTCTAAGACCCTCAAAATAGGGTGATATCATAATATAAATAATAATTTATATTTCCCACTTATTATCTCTATAATAAGTAAATTTATTTATTTGTCGGCACACGGCCCATTTCATATATTTCATTATACCCGTCGTTAGCACGACACCGCCCGTAGGTCTTATCATCCTTTACGAGACTTGTCACCGCTCTCCGAGGCCTCACCGGGTCCCCGGGCCGGAGTCCAACATCCCGCCCCTGAACTCATACCCATCGTCCCGTAGGAAGGTAAGGTCCATTCGGGGTCCTATCTTATGTGTTACCGCTGCCGGGAGCCTCGTAAGGTCTCCGGTTTAGATTCCACCCTAACCCGTGATCACGATGTAAGTCCATGCTATCCAACCCCGCTCTCTAGAGTCGGGAAGGGCCATGGTCCTTACTAATTACCAATACTCTATCGGCTAATCCTTAAAGACTACCGAATACACCCGTAGGCCAATCCTATTCCTAGGATCAATTTATTATTCACTTTATCTTGGGTATCCCTTAAGGCCTACCCCTAGCATCACTTATCCACCTTAGTATCTCTTAAGACTACTTAAGGCTCAACAATTTACAATCCAAACCTTGGATCAATTCTAACATTTTTCATTCCAAAACCCCGACTAGTATCATT